AGAAATAAATTTGAGAAGAAAATTTTAGCTTTGGTAACGTTCTGGAACCTCATGGACCAACTTTGGTGCCTTCTTTGGGTTTCGGAACGTCAACTTTCGAAACCAATAGGAACATCTGGTCCTCCATCTTTCCGATACCCGAAATGCTAGTTCTGCTGCAAACTTTTCCGCAACTACAAGTGGCTTATGGGGCTCATTCCATTCAAGAAAACCGTAGGTTYCACATCTTCGTTTTGCAACGGTGGCATAGAATACCATGGGCGACGACTGAGGTTAGGGTTTAGTGGATTTACTATTTCACATTTGGTTGTTTAGCTTATTTTTCTTTAAATCTGATTTTACATGGTACGTAGGTTACAGATCATTTTTCTAGGTCATAAAGATATGTCATAATTGTGACAAAGTCTGATTATTTATTTGTTTAAACTTATTATCTAGTAAATATTTATCGATAAGATAAATTAATTATTATCTAGTAAACATTTATCGATAAGATAAATAATTTAGTAAAAAATTATCTCATAAACATTTGAAAACGACTTCTTAATAACTCAAAATGTAAAAATTCATTGCTTTTCTCATTTATTACAAATGAAGACACATGACTGATTTCTTTTGCAGAAGCCGTCGATCAATACCAACCATACGAGTTCTGCATGCACGGTTGATATCAACTCTCCGATTTCCATGACTCAACAACTCGGGCGAGTGTCTCGTAAGACGACCCACCACAACTCAGTGTCTCCTTTCCACTCTCTTCCAGTTCTCTAGCCCTCTTCCTAATCTTCTTACCTTCCTCACCCTTCATAACCATCCTTACCACCTTCGCTATCTCATCTCTCCCCACCATCACCGTCTCTCCGCCTTCCCCCACCACCGCCATCTTCACCGCCACYCCTACCTCATTGCTTAACATACTCGCATTCATCCTCTGCTCTGCATACAACGGCCATCCAATCATCGGCACACCATGTTTAATGCTCTCCAGCGTCGAGTTCCACCCACAATGAGACACAAATGCTCCGGTGGATGGGTGGTTCAGTACCGCCACCTGCGGTGCCCATGAACACACCGTCAGCCCCACTCCCTTTGTCCTTTCCAGAAACCCGTCCGGCAAGTACCCCCTCGGGTCATCTGAGTCACTCCCGGCGTTGAAAAACGCAGCATCAGAGGTGTCACTCGGCTTTCGCACCACCAGAATGAACCGTTGCTGACTCAGTTCTAAACCCCAAGCCAACTCAGTGAGTTGCTCACTTGGTACCGTCCCACCACCACCCAGTGCAACAAAGAGAACCGAGTCTTTAGGTTGTTCGTCAAGCCATGCCATTATTTCTTTATCCTGACCATCCRAAGCCGGTTCAATCTGTTTGGTGAGTGGTCCGATGGCGTAGACCGGCGGAGTAGGAAGGTTAAGGAAGAACTTTTCGTGTTTCAGTGCTTTCAGGGTGACCGGTTCTATGTCGTCCCATATGTTGACGAATATTCCGGCAGCCATGGATAACCTGCTGACATGAAACAAGTACCATTTATACTCGTCGATCTTTCTGTTACGGATTTGGTCCARTAAATCTTGGGTACGGATCGGATCACAACCAGGAACCTTGACAGGTTCAGGTAGATCCACAAATTCACCCTCCACCTCCATATCCATCGTCGGAAGATACAATGAGAGCGCCATAAGGGCGGCWGACGCCGTGAAAAACGAATAAACCGGAACGGATAGCTCTTTACATGGCTCAATTGCGTCGGTGCAGAAGATGTCGACGATGAAAGCTTTGAGGTTCATTCCGGATAAGATGGAGCGAAGCGGGCGGATGGACTCTCGGACTACAACGGAGAGGCGGGCGACGGCGGTCATGTCATCCAAAAGGAAAGCGGACATACCAGCAGGCGGAAGGTGGAGGAGATGGAGGTGGGGATGTGGTTTGAAGGCATTGAAGTAGTTGTGTTGGGCRAGGGTGGCGCCGGTGGTGATGACCAGAAAAGTGACCTGCAAGTTGTGTTGAGATACAAGTCGGAGAGCAAGCTCGAAAAGAGGAGTGATGTGACCATTTCCGGGGCTTGGAAGGAAGGCGACGTGGGTTTTGGGTGGAGCGTTGTTTGTCATGGTGATTTCAAAAGAAAYAGTAGATAGTTGATGAAGATGAAGATGGCAGCTAGCGAGCTTTATGCATATACATATATGCCCAAACCCACTGTAACACAAGAAAAACCAAATAATATAACACTAGAAATTAAAAATCCTTTTCTGATTTGATTTTATGTGTAAAAACACATGTAAAATCGCCAGTCCATCCATGCTTTTAGTATATTCAATAATCGTATCTGATTACAATGTAAATTACAAATGATTTACCATCTTATTTTTATATACATCATGAATTAAATATTACACTAAATCATGAAAGTAATGAAAAAGAAAAAGTTATGTAATGGATCCCCAAARAGACGGGTGCAAATGGAATTGAGTTATTAAAAGAGAATAGGGGCGAGAGCGACTGATTCTTTTTTATATACAATAATTTGTTATGAAACATGAGAAAGTTGAATTTGTTTTATTTTGTAAAACAACAACGTGTAATTAAGACAATCAAATAATATTTCCTGTTTCTTAGTGTAAAATAACATTGCATTTGGGAAACAATAATGTATACGTCGTGAAGCAATGAGTTTTTGTATGTGATATTCATTTTTATTACATCAGCAAGATTTTGAGAAGAGTTACTCTTTGGAGTTTGAAATATATATATATTTAAAATATCTCTAAACAGAGATCCAACATTCTCAATATCAAAACTTTTTGAATTAAAACATCATTCCTTTAACAGGAAAGATTTAAGGCAAAACTTGCCTGATATGACAAACTATTTTCCCATTCTCAATAACATCTAAATTATCACTTCTAAACAGGAATAATATCTTTAATTCATCAGGTCACAAAGAAATGATGATTTAAAGTTATTAAATCCAATTTAGTAATAATAATAAGAGTTATAGTAATAACATCCCCATATGACAATGTCACCCTTATTCCAAGTACACATCTCCTTGATATGTCACCCTTATTCCTCCAATTAAACAGAGCTACTTATCAGAACAGACATAAGTCACCACGTCTGAAAGTACTCATTCCCAGTTCCAAACCAGAACAGACATAAGTCACCACGTCTGGAGGAACTACCTTTTAAAACTCACTTCCATACCAAAACAGACTTATGTCACCACGCTTGGTAGGAAGGTTTCAAAATATGGTTTCATACCAAAACAGACTTACGTCACCACGCTTGGTAGAAACATTTTCCAAAATCCCGTTCCAATACCAAAACAGACTTACGTCACCAAGTTTGGTAGGAACATTTATCAAAAACTCATTCCATACCAAAACAGACTTACGTCACCACGATTGGTAGGAACATTTATTAAAAACTCATTCCATACCAAAACAGACTTACGTCACCACGATTGGTAGGAACATTTATTTTAAAAGATAACCATTTTTATGAATCATAAATAAATAAATAAATAAACATTTTAAAAACTTATAAAATTTTCAACATAAAATCTATCCGGATAACAAGTCCGGTCAATGACAACCCGCTTTTACAAGTCCGGTCAACTAATCCGGTCAACAACCATCCGGTTTACAACACTTAGAATAATAATTCATATTGAGCGGATAACAAATCCGGTCAATAGTCCGTTCAAGACTTACCTGGTTTAAGACTAAACCGCTCATCAATCCGTTCAAGACTCGTCCGGTTTAAGACTAAACCGCTTATCACTTAACCGGTTTAACCAACTCCGGTCAACAAACCGCTCAAGGTTCGTCCGGTTTAAGACTAATCCGGTCACTAAGCCGCTCAAGGCTTGTCCGGTTTAAACTAATCCGGTCACTAAGCCGCTCAAGGCTTGTCCGGTTTAAACTAATCCGCTCACTAAACCGCCTAAGGCTTGTCCGGATAAACACTTAGACAAAAATAAACATGTTCTCTTTAAATATGAATAATACGAAGCATGTAATTGAAACCAGTAAGATTTAATACAAAAAGGTTTAGAAACCACTCACCTTGTAAAGCTTTTGAATCTAAAATACTAGAAATCAATTTCTTTTGAAATCCAACACTTGAAATCTTCCTCTAATATGCAATCCGGACAACACTATAACTCCCTCTTCAAATTCTCTCAAAGTGGCAAGAAGAAGTCAAAATGAAGGGGTAACTCCCCTTTTGTACTTACCAAATGGGGAAAGGTCGGCTAACCGCCTCCCCCCCCCCTTCCTTGCCCATGTGCACACCCATGCACACAATTATATCATATATATATATATATATATATCCATCAAATAAGTATATATATATATATATATACTTCCACAAAATTTACAATCTACACATACTAGCACGTATCAAATTATCATGCTATCATGTAACCATTTAGTCAAATATTCACGTATAAATTACCTTGAGTAATAATCAAGATCTGATTATCACATTATTCATCCCTCAAAAGAATTCCGTCCCGGAATTCCTTTAATCAAAAAGCCACGGGTATTCAATTCTCATTTTTGACTCTAACTCCCAGGTCGCCTCTGGTCCTTTGTGAAACTTCCACTGTACTTTAACCAGACTTATTTCTTTGTTTCTCAACACCCTGATCTTTCTGTCAGTTACAGCTTCTGGTGTTTCCACAAAGTTCAATTTACTGTCTAATTGAATCTCTAGCATCGATATAGCTAAACTTGGATCGGCCAAACATTTTTTCGCAGATTCGACACATGAAAAGTGTTGTGAATCAGACTCAACTCTTCTGGTAGCTCTAATTCGTATGCTACTGGCCCAATTCGTTTACATATTCTGAACGGCCCTACATACCTTGGACTGATCTTTCCTTTCTTCCCAAATCTGATAACACCATTCCATGGTGAAACTTTTAACATCACAAAATCACCT